GCTTCTGAAAATAGAGAATAGTAAAATATTTGCTGTGCTGATTAAATGATGCAACAATTTCAAAGTAGCATAAGATAGTATAAACCAGTAAATAACTATACTTATAATATATAAAATATGTCATTTATAATATATAATTTGTAAATAACTATATAGAGAGCAAATAACTATAACCAAATTGTGCAGTCTAAGACTTTTCCCCTCCATCCATTTTTAGATATCCTTCACCTTGACAGTCACATGCTGCTGGCTCAGGACCTGTGCCTTCTTGCTTCTGCATTTTGATAGCATACTCCCTCTCATTTCCCTCTCATTTGTAAGGTCCTTATTCACCTTCTCCTTGTCGGTCCAAATATCATTAATTCTTTAAAATCCAGCTCAAATGTCACCCTCTAGGAAGCCTCCTGTAATTGTCCCAGTCAATAGTTCTCTCTCTCTTCCCCCTCAGAAAGAGATCTAACTCTACTCATGATCGTTTTTTTGCGGTGACTATTCCTCCTATTCAATTTTCTTGAGTAAAGGATCAGTATCTAATGCACCTTTGTGTACTACACTACCTTATATAGAGTAAGACCTAAATAAATATTTATGGAACAGACAAAATTAATAATAAATCCTTTGATTTATTGAAATCTTAAAAATATTAAGTTTTTAATCTGTTTTCTTACTTTGTATTTTCTAAATGCATCTGAAAATAATATTATCTTAAAACTTTCAGACCAACAATCCTTAGTATCCCTTCAGTTCTTATTTCTTCTGCTTTGTTACAGTTAGAGAGGTTATCATATTAAGAGCTGCCAGTTGTGTAAAGGCAAGCTCTTAGCCAACATGAACGTTAAGAAGTTAAGTGTTTGAAGTGTTAAGGATATAAAAAAAGTAAAGTGAAAGGACTACAATTATAAATCTATAAAGAATATCAAATAATTACTTGGCCATGTAAAGACAGTAATTTTTCTATGCTGCCATTACAACTCTAAAAGGATGCTAATAGGTATATCAATAGGTAATTTACAACTAATTGATGTTTTAAGTAGTGATTCTTTTTTTTCTTAAGATTTATTTATTTATTTGAGAGAGAGAGAGCGCGCGAGCATGCGTGTGGCGAGGAGGGGCAGAGGAAGAGGTTGAGAGAGAGCGTCAAGCACACTCCGTGCTGAGCATGGAGCCCACAGAGGGAGGCGTGATTTCACAACCCTGAGCTAAAACCAAGAGGTGGACGCTTAACCGACTGAGCCACTCAGGCCCCCTTAATACTGATTCTTAAATGTTGTTTTAGGTTTTCATACAGATGTGTTGAGATTTTTTCTTTTCTCCTTTTCTCCCTTAGGGGAAATTCATAAATGCCTTTTGGCAATCCTAGACTTCCTAGATATCTTCTAGTTATTTGTTTATGGCTCATATTTATCTTCCTACCCATAATTTTAATTTAGCCTTCAATGTTCTCAAATCCTACTTCCTACTTCCAGTATTGCTTGATCATTGAAAAAAGGACCAATCTTCCCCTTCTCTGAGTTCCTGCTACTTTTATAATCTGTATCATACAAAGTAGCCTTTCATAAACTCCCTTATTTTGTTCATACAGAAGCCTAATTTCTTCAAATGAATTTTAAGACCAATGAGTACACCCTCAGCTTCTTTCATATCCTTCTTGGGTCGACACAGAGCAAATGCTTAAAATAAATAACTCTTCTCCTCCCTTTACTCAAGCTTTAAACAGAAGCTTTTTAAACTGTGAAATAAATAATGGTACCCATAACCCACAAAAAAGATAGTGGTTACTCTAGAATAAACAAGGCATAAATACTTCATCTTGAGTTCAATTTATCTAACAGTAATCCCTAAATGTTTGATGATGCAACATGACAAAGGCAAGTAGGCAAATGTGAGGCACACTACGTTCTTTCATGTAAGATTTCTTAGAACTTTCAATACTCTAGGAATGTCAAATGAAACCTTTTCCAATTTATTTGGCCAAGAAAATTTGTTTCTCTGAAACACCTATTTATGAGTTGAGCAAGACCACTACCACTGTTCTTCAGTCTTAGGGGTGCCGGGTGACTCAGCTAGCTGAGTGTACCATTCCTGGTTTTGGCTCAGGTCATGATCTCATGGGTGGTAAGATCAAGCCCCACGTCTGGCTCCGTACTCAGCAAGGGAGTCTGTCTGAAGATTCTCTCCCTCTGCCCCTCTCAGCCTCAAATAAATAAATAAATCTTTAAAAAAAAGTGTACAGTTTTAGTAACAACGGGATCTCAAATGTCCCTTGTATGCCTATCTTAGAGACAGAGATCTACTACCCATAATTTTTTAAAAAATGAGACAAAACTAAGATATGCCTTCACTATGTAAAAAATCAAGATATCACAAAATCAGTTTATTAATGTGGTTTATATTATTTAATATTTCACTATATAAAAATAGAGCATAGTCATTTATAAAATAAATTTGATTTTAAGTCACCACAATATTTTTAATACTAAGACATAAAGGTTTACTGAATAAAAGAGAAGATAAAGGGGATAAGATATATACGTTGACTTTTTAGCTGTAAAAGTCTTCTTTTGGTATGGTCTAAGATGTATGTTCTTCAAAAGGCTCTCACTATGATTTTAGAGTTTGTTGGTTTTTATTCCTGCTTTGTGTGTCTGAATTAACACTAGCCTTTTTTTTCTTTTTTTCTTTTGAGATGTAAAAATTTTGAAAAGTAGGGAGCACCCACGTTCCCCCACCTAGAACACACAATCACTAATATTTTGTCATATTTGCTTCAAACTTGTTTCTTGTAAATAATAGCAAATATCCAGCCATTTGTTTAACAGGTACTCTTATTGAGCACAGACTTTGTATTAGCACTGTGTTAAGTGCTGCACACTGAATCGTGAGCAAAACAGCCAAATGACCTACAATTACATATGTACCTTACAACCCGGTAAGAGAAACACAATCAAATAATCAGAGAAATACTTACAAACTGAAATGCTGAGATTAAAGTACCAACCAGCCTTTCTCATCTGGGATTCCATGAGAGAATCAGATGCTAAGGACAATGATTTGAGGGACTATTTCCTCAATTCCCTTAAGACTGGCACATAGCTAGTACCATCCTGGAAGTACAGGTGAGAAGTTAATTCATACATACAATGGGTGTTTCACTTAAGGCACCAGGATTTGTCTCTCAGAACCAGCTGAGAAGGACTGGTACAGATTCTATAGGAAAGAACTGAACTTTGGTGGTGGTGGTGGTGAGGTGAGGGGATGGTTAGAAAAGCCCAAGGAAGTGAAGTCTTTAACTGAAATATGAAGGATATATAGGTATTATCTAGGCCAGGGCTGGGTGGGGTGGTAGTGTGAAACATTGTCTTTCCAGGGAACAAACACTGTCTTTCCTTTGAAGGCCCTAAGGAACAAAGGAACAAGGTGATTTTGAAGAATTAAAAGACCAATACAGCTAAGTACAGAGAACAAGGTCAGGGAGGAATAATAAAACATGAAGTTGGAAAGACAGGCAGGTAGGCAGGGACCAGAAAAAATGACTTCAACTGCATTAAAAAAGATCACTGTGGCTCCAATGGGCTACAGAAATAAGAGCAGATGAGGAAGACCAGAGGAAAACCTTCTGCAGTGATTCAGGTAAGAGATGACGGCTTAGACTAGGGTGGTGATGGCAGGAGTGGAGAAAAGTAGATTTGAGTGGAATTTAAAATATAAAGGAAGGGATAAGGGTAGAGAGGGTTGTGTGAAGGATGACTCCCAGGTTCTGGGTAAATGCTGCTGCTGAACACTGGGAAAAGTCTGGAGAGTAAGCTTTTACCTGGGTTTGATGTCACTTTGAGATATCTGAAGGAGATGTCAAGGAGGCAAATGCAGATACGAATCTGGAGTTGAGAGAAGGGGTCTAGCTTGTAGTTCCTTTCATAGAGGAAAATGAGGGGGACTGGCAGAGATCTCAAGCAATAGCCATCAAGCTTGGGCAGCACACATTAGGAAACAAGATGTATATGCATGGCATTTGTGTTATGTGTAACACAAGGTGATATACATTAAAATAAAAAGACTGAGAAAAAAGGGGAGAAAAAGTGAGACAGGATGGTTGCCTTGATTGTTTTCCATCTTATGTGAAAAACTGCTAAAGACAGTTATAGATATAGGTAGTTAAACAATATGCTATTGCTGCCTTGTAAATGCTGCCTTGTAACTATCAAAAGAGTTCGAATTTATGATAATGTAAATTCCAAAATCAGACACTCAGCTGATACTAAATCATAAAGCAATTTTCTTATAAATATTTTCAGAAGCAAAAAACCGTATAGATCCTTTCTCTCCCTCTTTAATGGTTTTTATTTTCACACTTTACCCTCTATATACATTAACCCAACTTCACAATCTTCATATTTTTGCATTACTTTGGAGAAATGTAAAATTACCTTCACAATTATATAATGTTATATTAACCAAAAATCTAATATGCGGGCCACTTTGTTTAAATGATTGCTAAAATACTAAATACTAAAATCAAGTTTACTGTTGGGTGGTTTGAGTATATGGTACACTGAATTTTTTACTTAAAGATTTTTTTTAAAGACTTTATTTATTTATTTGAGAGAGAGAGAGAGAGTGCACACACAAGCAGGGGGTGGGGAGGGGCAGAGGGAGAGGGACAAGCAGACTCCCCACTGAGCAGGGAGCCAACATGGGGCTTGATCCCAAGACTGGGAGATCATGACCTGAGCCGAAGGCAGACAGACACTTAACCAACTAAGCCATCCAGGTGCCCCTTAATTTTTTTTTACATTGAAAAATTTTTAACTTTGCTGACTTTTTACAAGGGTTAATACAAATCAAATGCCAAATAAAATTCTTATTGATAAAAAGCAAGAAAATTCCAAGTAGTACCTTATTAGAGAGGACATGTAATTATATTCCTACTTTGTATTTTTGTGCTTGAACAACTATGGTCCTGTATTTGTTCTTTAAACAAGTTGTTTCAGTTTGTTACATACCAGTTAGCAATGTCTTTGTGAGCCACTAAATTTTGAAGAAATGCTTGTAATCCTAGTTGCCTATCTTCTAAAAAGTCAGCATTGTAATTATCTTTGAACCAGCGTTTTGGTGGAAGTGCTAATCGAAAGCCTGGAAACATCTCTTTTAACTGAAAAAGAAGAAAAAAGAAAATACAATGTTCAACTCAACGTATCAATTCTATAAAATCTATCCTGTTAACTACATGGACTTGTTCATGAAATAAACTTAAAATAAAATAATGAAATTCAGCTAAACTTTTTTTTTTTTTAAGATTTTATTTATTTATTTGACAGAGACAGACACAGCAAGAGAGGGAACACAAGCAGGGGGAGTGGGAGAAGGGGAAGCAGGCTCCCTGCAGAGCAGGGAGCCCGATGCGGGGCTCGATCCCAGGACCCTGGGATCATGACCTGAGCCGAAGGCAGACGCTTAACGACTGAGCCACTCAGGCGCCCCTCATCTAAACTTTTTATATCTCAATTGTTTACTTTTTGATTTCTACCAGTTGTATATACACAGGCGTTACAGTTGCTCCATATCCTTGCCAACACCTGGCATTGTCCATCCTTGTAATGTTAGCCATTCTGGTGGGTATATAGTAGTATTTCACTGTAGCTTTAATATGCATTTCTCTGTTGACAAATGATGTTAACTATTTTCTTATAGGCTTTTTTGGATTTGCATATCTTTGGTGAATTATCTATTCAACTCTTCTAACCCCTCCGTTTAAAAAAATTGGGTTATTTATCTTTTCATTATTAAGTTGCAAGAGTTCTTTATATATTCTGGATACAAGTCCTCTGTCAGATGTAAGTATGAGAAATATTTTCCCCCAGACTGTGGTCTTTTACACACATTTTTTTGATTCTTGCAAGTAAAAGCAGGTGATGGGTAGAGCTCTTTCTGGTACCTAGAACACTGACATAGATACTTATTAATTTTAAGTGCCCAACTTGGAATATGTAGGAGATATTTACTAACTTAAATTCCTATGAACATCCTTCTTTAAAAGCTTTAGAGTTATCTAAATCTCAACTTGCCAAAGATAAGAACTATTATAGCAATATAAAGATGAATCCAGAGAGGTAAAGAGAAGTAAACATTAAATAATAATTGAGCCCTCAAAAGAAAAGTAGCCCTCATAAAGGATTAAATAGCTCTAAATTGAAACTGTTAGAAATTAGTCTTCATGAACAAAAATTGTAACAATTTTATAAGTTAAGAATTCCCCTTAAGTATCTGGTAACTTAATGAATTACTGTGATCTTCTTATTTAAGTATTAATTATTTAATTATAAGTACAGAATTATAGGTTTTTAATTCATCAGTGTAATAATAAGAACTCAGGCACAGTAAGTAAAATTCATATTTAATGATGGAAATACATTACAAATAATACTTTATTTTGGCATACTACAAAAAGTCATCTTGATAAATACCTAAAGAAAGGATAAAATAGCTTAGCATTTTATATTTTACCTTTCATTCAAATTGAGGTTTTTAGAATGGCAGAAACTTTTTGGCAGCCAGGCAACTGCAAAATCACATAAATAGGTTTCCTACCACCAAAAATGATAAGGATATACTAACTTTAGAAGTTTTGAGAGTGAAGGTGGCAGATGGCAGAAAATAGGACCAGTAAAGTTTCCTCTACTAAACACCTGTCAAAATTAGGGAGTGATTTCTGATCCAAAGACAAAATCCAAGGTTACTTAGCCTCTTAGAAACATCATAAACCACTTTCTTCTTTTGGAGAAATGCTCCTGGTTTCTAAAATACTACCACCCTCACCTGCCTCAATTGACTTCCCTCTAGCTCTGTGGATATCTCAGCTCTTTCTTTACTACACTTGTACTGCAATTTACTCAATCAATTCCCTATCAATTCTCCAAATTTAGGTTGGTTCTAATTTTTAACTATTAAAAACAAATTAAAACACAAAGAAAATAACAATGAATAAAACACAGTGAAAAGTATCCTTAGAGCTAAATATTGTCCATATCCATGATTTCTTATATTGGATAAATCCCAGAAATGTGATTATTGTATCAAAATTATGCACAACTTTAGGAAGTTGTGTCCCCTAGGAAGATTCATATTTCTAATAATGGATAATACCACTTAAATGTCTGTTAACTTGATGGGTGAAAAATAGTTTCTTAATTTTCCTTTGAGTCCTTGTGATATCAAATGTTTTCCAAATTTATTGGTCACTTATATTTCTTCTGTGGTTTGCCTTGTTCACATAATTTGTAGTATTTTCTACTTTTGGGTTTACTCTAATTTACTTTTAAGAGTTTTTAATATATTGAGGGTTTTTATTATTTTGTTTCATATGTGCAGTAAGCAGATTTCCAGATGGCCCCATGATCTTTGTCCCTGGTGTTGCTTCTGTGATTCTGTTATGTCACACATTAAAAGAGATTATGCAGACGTAATTAGGGTTACTTTTCAAATGGCCTTAAAATAGAGAGATTATCTCGGTAAGCCTGATCTTATCATGAGCCCTTTAAAAGTCTAGTTTTCCCCCTGGCTGATGGCAGAAGAGAAAGTCAGAGAGATTCAAAGCACAAAAAGGACTTGACTTGCTACTGCTGACTTTGAAGGTGCAGGGGCCATGTGCAAAGACTGGACAGCACTCTATGAACTAAGAACAACCTCTGGCTGACAACCAGCAAGGAAATGGGGACCCTGGTCTTAGAACTACAAGAAACTGAACTCTGCCAACAACCTGGATGAACCCAAAAGCTGATACTTTCTCAGAGCCTCCAGAGAAGAGCCCAGTCTAGCCAACAGCTTGACTTTGACTTTAACCCTAAGTGGCAAACCCAGCTGAGCGCACCTAAATCACTAGATAAAAAACAGGTATGTTTTAGGTCACAAAGTTTGTGGTAATTTGTTAACAGCAATAGAAAACTAATACACTATGTTAGAAATATTTTTTGTTGTTGTTCATTCCCTTATAGTCATATGATTTAGGGGAATCTTATATACATCTTTATCAAATTCACAAGATTATATAATCATTTTATTTATTTATTTATTTATTTATTTTTAAAGATTTTATTTATTTATTTGACAGAGACAGAGATAGCGAGAGCAGGAACACAAGCAGGGGGAGTGGGAGAGGGAGAAGCAGGCTTCCCGCCGAGCAGGGAGCCCGATGCAGGGCTCGATCCCAGGACCCTGGGATCGTGACCTGAGACGAAGGCAGACACTTAATGACTGAGCCACCCAGGCGCCCCCATATAATCATTTATATTTCTGTTAGCAGTTTTAAGATTTTCATACTTTTATACTAAAAATAATTTTTTGTTTCTAAAAAAAGGAAGTTACGTGTAAAGATGGGTATTTAGGCTATTAAAATGAAATAAAATAGTTAATTTTCTTAGGAACTAGCAAAATTTGACTTCACTCAGATAACTAACAAGGAGAATCCACAAATATTTAACAGCAGAACTGTCAGGAACAGATAATAATTTGAAACTGAAAAGTCCATTTTAGATTTATTAAAGTACTTACTTTATCATTAAGTCTAGAGAAGTCAGTGTATCTTCTGAAAACTACCCAACTTTCTTCTGGGGTTTTCTTTACTAGTATTTTATATACCTATGCAGAGAGAGAGAGAGAGAGAGAGAGAGAGAGAGAGAGAGGTGAAAATAATGTATATAAAGATATTTAAAATTTCAAACCAAATATTTTTAAAACTTTTACTTGACAACCCAGGTCATAACAATTAGTATGTAAAAAATATCAGAAATCATTTGGGGCACCTGGGTGGCTCAGTCATTTAGCATCTGCCTTCAGCTCAGGTCGTGATCCCAGGGTCCTGGGATTGAGCCCCACATGGGGCTCCTTGCTCAGCAGGGAAGCCTGCTTCTCCCTCTCCCACTCCCCCTGCTTGTGTTCCCTCTCTTGCTGTCTCTCTCTCTCTGTCAAAAAATAAATAAAAATCTTAAAAAAAAAAAAGAAATCATTTGGAACATCAAATGTACAATAATCAATGTAGGCACCAAAAGCAAGATTTGTTTCTTTTTTTCTTTTTTAAAATATTTTATTTATTTATTTGACAGAGAGAGACACAGTTGCCCTGTGGAGTTGCCCTCTAGCCACAAGCGGCTACTGAAAACCTGAAATGTGACAAATCCTAACTGACATGTGCTGTGAGTGTAAATACACACCAGATTTAAAAGACTGAGAACGAAAAAAAAAAAGATGTAAAAATACTTCATTAAAATGGCTTTGGATTAAAAAATATATTATTAAATATAATTTCATCTGTTCTTTTCACTTTTTTAAACATGGCTACTAGGAAATTTTAAATTACAAAGATGACTCACATTTGTGGCTCACCTAGTCTTACTGGATGCTGTAGAGAAGACTCATTGTTTAGGTACTAGATCATCCTTATTTTTCTTCTTTACAGACCTCTCTTTCAGCTTTTTTTTTTTTTAAAGATTTTATTTATTTATTTGACAGAGAGAGAGAGAGCACAAGCAGGGGGAGCAGCAGAAGGAGAGGGAGAAGCAGGTTCCCCGCTGAGCAGGGATCCCGACATGGGGCTCAATCCCAGGACCCTGGGATCATGACCTGAGCCGAAGGCAGCCACTTAACCAACTGAGCCACCCAGGACCACTCTTTCAGCTTTTAAGGGGGAGAATCAGCAAGGGTTAAGGATGACTCCTTTAGCTTTGAAGTAAATATAAATAATTCATCTTTGTAACATAATAAAGATGAGGAAGATTATTTGGATATCCTTTAAAGTCTGCAGAAAGTCCTTATCTAAGATAACTGTAAAGGGGATACTAATGAAACATTCTTTTTAGGAGTTACTAATAGAAACAAAAGGGATAACCTGACTTCAAAACGTTTGAGTATGAATAACTGATGCATAATAAAAGTCAACTTCATATGATAATAAGGTTTATCTACACATAATCCATATTGACTTTATTTTCCTGTTTTAAAAAATGAATCCTCCTTTCAAGTTTTTCTCCACAGTGGCCCCTGAGCACTCCTATTTCTCTAGTAAAGACAAAGTACAGATTTTTCTGTTTTATCTTCTCTAGAAAGCTCTCCCATGTTTCTCCTTGTGTAAGTAGTGCTTTCAATGAAAAGTTTATGGACACTACTGATCATTCCCTCTTCTATGTTCTAACAGTAGTTATGGTTTCTACTCTTTACTGGAAACTTAGTATACATTACTTTGTGCTTTTTATATAGCCCTTATTATAGGATTTTTAAGTAAATTATGCAGGAGCACACACCTAATTACAGAATACATACAGAAAAGCACACAAATCATAAGTATACAACTTGATGAATTTTCATAAAACAAACACACTCACGTAACTAGTACCAAGTGCAAGAAACAAAACATTACCAATTGAAGAAGCCCACCTCATGGCTCCTTCCCAATCTGACTTATCACCCCTCCTAGTCACTTTTGTTCTTAAACACTTTTCAAAGGCTTGACATGCTAATGACAAGAACTTACCAGTCATTCCTAATACTTTCTTCAGTTAAGAGCTCAATTCAAAGAAATATACCTAGAAAAAAATTATCTTACAAACCTAAGACTCCCAAACGTGTATATTCAGCTCAAACCTCTCCCCTAAACTCAACTTATATTTACACACATATACATAATACATAAGCTTGGGACACACATGCACATATATACACACACCTGACATCTCCATTTTGATGTCTACTAGACATCTCAAGCCTAGCATGTCCAAAAACAAATCCTGATCTTGCCCTCAAAACCTGCCACCGAATTAAACAGCAACCCTACTGTTCACCCAAAAACTTTGGGAGCATCGTTGATTTCTCTTTATCCCACATCTAAAGGTTTTACCTTCAAAATATCCCCAGAATCTGATCACTTCTTAGGACTTCTTCCACCACCCTGTCCACACCACCATCATGTCTTCCGTGGATTACTGTAAGAACTTAATACTTCCTGTTTCCATTCTTGCCTCCACAAAATCTAGTCTTAACTCAGCAGCCAGATGAGCCTTTAAACCTTAAGTCAGATCATGTAACACTTCCTTTAAAACCTTTTCAAAAATTGCCATCTTGTGCAGAGTAAAATCTAATGGTCTTACAATGGCCTACATGCTCTACCTGATCTGTGTGTCACACTCCCTTGTCTTTACCTGTTATTTCAGTTCTTACAACTTTCCCCATGGCTGCTTCTGCTGTCAGCCACAAGGGCCTCTGCCGTTGTCTCACCTGTCAGGAAGGTTCTTCCCCCAGATATTCTCGTGGCTCATTGCCTCTTAGTGCTAACATCTTTTCTGTGAGGCCATGACTGACAATGTTATTTAAATTGCAACTCCAGTTGCGGGGAAACTATCTCCCTTCACTCTTTTATTTCTCTTTATACCACTTACCACCATATGACATACCAGCATTTTAAAATGCTTACTCATCTATCATTCATTCATTCGAGTTGCTGTACCACTATCACCTAAAAGAGTGCATGACACACAATAGGTACCCCCAACATGAATTAAATGAATAAATGAATAGTAATAACTTCATACCCATTATTTACTTCTTCCTCTAAAGTGTTTTTATTTTTTTATTTTTTTTCAAGATTTTATTTATTTATTTGAGAGAGAGAGAATGAGAGATAGAGAGCATGAGAGGGAAGAGGGTCAGAGGGAGAAGCAGACTCCCCGCTGAGCAGGGAGCCCGATGTGGGACTCGATCCCGGGATTCCAGGATCATGACCTGAGCCGAAGGCAGTCGCTTAACCAACTGAGCCACCCAGGCGCCCCCTCTAAAGTGTTTTTAAAGACTTTATGTATAGCTGCCTTAAATTTGCCTATGAACTTGTATTTTCACACACATCATTTCAATGAATGCTCATCCAGCATAAGGTAGGTCAATGTAAGAAAATGGGCCACCGGTTTATCATAATTTCCAAAAAAACTCAGGTCCATGCAAATTTCCCATCACATCATCAGTCTTAACGATAATTTAACTCTAAAGATGTCTCTCTTCATAAATTATCTCAACTGATGTACATAGATGCTAAAAATCATCAACAAAATATTAACAAATTGCATTAAACAACACATTATAAGGATCATTCACTATAATCAAGTGAGATTTATTCTGGGGATGCAAGAATGGTTCAGCATTTGCAAATCAATGTGATATAGCACATCAACAACATGAAGGATGAAAATCATATGATCACTTCAATAGATGCAGAAAAAGCATCTGACAAAATTCAACATCTAGTCATGATAAAAATTCTCAACAGGAAAGGTTTAGAAAAAAACATGCCTCAACATAATAAAGCCCATATCTGAAAAACCCAGAGCTAACATCATACTCAATGGTGAAAAACAGAGCTTTTCCTCTAAGATCAGGAACAAGACAAGAATGTCCACTCTTGTCACTTTAATTCAACAAAGTACTAGAAGTGCTCGCCACAGCAATCAGAGAAAAAGAAACAATGGTAATTAAGAAGTTAAATTGTCACTATTTGCAGATGAAATGATACAGTATGCAGAAAACCTTAAAGATTCCACCAAAAAACTACTAGAAGTAATAAATCCTGTAAAGTTGCAGGATACAATATTAAATACACAGAAATTGGTTGGGTTTTTTTTTTTTTTTGGTTGTGTTTCTATATACTAATAACAAAGTAGCAGAAAGAGAAATTAAGAAAACAATTCTATTTACAATTGTGCCAAACAGAATAAAATACCCAGAAATAAACTTAAGAAGTTAAAGACTTGAATTTTGAACACTATAAAACACTGATGAAAGAAATTAAAGACAACACAAATAAATGGAAAGATATTCCATGCTCACGGATTGAAAGAATTAATGGTGTTAAAATGTCCATACTACCTAAAGCTATCTACAGATTCAGTGCAATCCCTATCAAAATACCAATAGCATTTTCCACAGAACTAGACCAAATAATCCTAAAATTTGTTTGGAATCACAAAAGACTCTGCATGGTCAAAGCACTTTGAGAAAGAACAAAACTGGAGGTATCACAATTCCAGATTTCAAGATATACTACAAAGCTGTACTAATCAAAACAAATAGTACTGGCACAAAAATAGACACATAAACCAATAGAACAGAATAGAGAGCCCAGAAATAAACCCATGCTTATACAGTCAATTAATCTATGACAAAGGAGGCAAGAATATACAATGGGAAAAAGACAGTCTCTTCAATAAATGGTGCTTGGAAAACTGGACAGCAACATGTCAAAGAAACAAACTATCACTTTCTAAGACCTTACACAAAAATAAACTCAGAACGGATTAAAGACCTAAATGTGAGACCTGAACCCATAAAAAAAGAGAAAACATGCAGTAATTTTTCTGACATCAGCCTTATAGCAACATTTTTCTAGATATGTCTCTTGAGGCAAGGGAAATAAAAGCTAAAACAAACTATTGGGACTACATAAAAATAAGATACTTTTGCAAAGCAAAGGAAACCATGAAGAAAAACGTAAAAAACAACCTACCGAATGGGAGAAGATATTTGCAAATGATGTATCTGATAAGGGGTTAATATCCAAAATATATAAAGAGCTTATACAACTCCACACCAAGAAAACCCACAAATAATCCAATTAAAAATGGGCAGAGGACCTGAATAGACATTTTTTCCAAAGAAGACATACAGATGGCCAACAGACAAAAGAAAAGATGCTCAACATCACTAATCATCAGGGAAATGCAAATCAAAACCAGAATGAGATAGCACCTTATATCTGTCAGAGTGGCTAAAATAAAAAAAGATAAGGAATAACAAGTGTTACCAAAGATGTGGAGAAAAAGCAACCCTATACACTGTTGGTGGGAATGTAAATTGATGCATCCACTGAGGAAAACAGTATGAAGTTTCCTCAAAAAATTAAAAATAGAAAAAAAAATAGAAAAAAATTAAAAAAAAATTAAAAATAGAATTACCATATGATCCAGTCATTCCACTTCTGGGTATTTACCCAAAGAAAATGAACACACTAATTCAAAAAGGTATTTGCACCCCTAGGTTTCCTGCAGCATTATTTACAATAGCCAAGATATGGAAGCAACCTAAGTGTCCACTGATAGATGAATGGATAAAGAAAATGTGGTATGTGTACACACATACACACACATACACACTGGAGTATCATGCAGCCACAAAAAAGGATGAGATCTTGCCATCTGCAACAACATGGATAAACCTAGAGGGTATAATGTAAGTGAAATAAGTCAGAGTGAGAAAGACAAATACCGTATGATTTTATTCATATGTGGAATCTAAAAAACAAAACAAATAAACAAAAAGCAGAATCAGATCTGTAAATACAGAGAACAAACTGGTGACTGTCAGAGGAAGGGGGTAGGGGAAAGTGCAAAATGGGTGAAGGGGAGTGGGAGATACAGGACTTCAGTTATGGATGAATAAGTCATAGGGAAAAAAGGTACAGCAGAGCGAAAATAGTCAATGATACTGCAATAGCGTTATGTGGTGACAAAGGGTAGCTACACCTACAGTGAGCAGAGCATAATGTATAGAGAAGGGGAATCACTATGTTGTATACCTGAAACAAATGTAACATTGTGTGTCAAATATACTCAGATAAAAAACTTTTTAAAAATTAAACATTTCCCTAAAGACAACAAAAATTATCTCAACAATTGTTTTCTCAGAGGTCCTCCAAACTGCTTGTAGGCTTACAGCATGAAATATTGAACTAAACATAAAAATTTTACATCAAGAAAATCCAAGAGGAAGAACAAACTATTTCAATTATAAGTGTATTTAGCAAGGTCTCTGGATACATCAACACACATTGATACATAAGACCAAAATATATAAACTAGTAATGAATAAACAGAAAACAGAACAAAGTATCAAGAACATCAAACAACATACATACTTGGAAATAAATCTAACTAGGGGGCGCCTGGCTGGCTCAGTTAGTAGAGTATGGGACTCTTAATCTCGGGGTCATGAGTTCAAGCCCCACACTGGGTATAGAGATTACTTAACAAAAAACAAATAACTAAAAAACCTAAGACCTCTGCTCTGAAAACTACAAAAGGACGTTAAAGACTTCAGTAAATGGATTAGGTTTAGATTCAGAGACTCAGTATTGTAAAAATGTCAGATCTCTTTAGATCAGTCTATAGAGTCAATATAATCCCAGAACAAAGAGTCAAGGATAGCCAAGACAATTCTGAAGAACAACAAAGCTAGATTACTTAAGCTAGCAGGTATCAAGGCCTCTCATAAGGCATTAGTAATTAAAGACAATGTGGAATTGGCAAATGAGGGAAAAATGGAACACAGAAACAAACCCATCTATTTAAATGGTTGCCTGATTTATGACATAGGCAACAGTGCAAATGCAGAGAGAGTGTTTTTTTCAATAAAAGCCTGATTACTTGATCCCATATGGAGGGAAAAAAAGTATCTTGACCCTTGTTTCACACCATGGACAAAAATCAATTCCAGTGAGTTTACAGGTCTAAATGTGAAAGGTCCAACAATAAAGCTTTTAGAAGAAAACATAGGACAACATCTTTGTAAGCTGGGAGTAATTTTAAAAAGTGCTAACCATAAAAGAAAAATTAATAAATTGGACTATATTAAAACTATAATTTTTTGTTTATCTTATGCATCATTAAGTGAAAAGGCAAGCCACAGGGATTATCATACATTGTGACTATTATCAAAGAGATAATGTTAGAGTCACAATGTATGCTCTAACAAAGAATTTGTCCAAAATGCATAGAAAATTATAAATCAAAGTGGGAAAAACTCTTCCAAAGAAAAATGAATAAAGGTCTTGAACAGACACTTCACAAAAGAGAATATCCAATGGCCCAAAAAGTCTTCAATTTAATTAGTCATTAAAAATGCAAATGAAGACCACAATGTGATATGACTCTCCCCACTGGGATAGAAAATAATAGTGAAAAAGATGAAAAAATACCACACGTTGGGCAGGTGTGGAGTGACTGGAACACTCATACACTGCTTAAAGGAGTATAAACTAGTACAACTACTCTGACACACTGTTCGTCAGTATTTTTTAAAGCTAGGTAGATGATCTAGCAATTTTACTCCTAGGCAGATGTAAAACAGAAATGTGTTAATGTGTTTAATGAGTGATAAATACTAAAAAGTTCATAGCAGTAGCATTTGTAAGAGCCCAAACTAGAAGTTATCCATATGTTCTTCAACAGTAGAATAGATAAATAAATTGTAGTATATTCACATAGAGGAATACTATCAGTAATAAAAATGAGCTACCTACAATTACATGCAAAATTAAGGATGGATCTTACAAACACAATGCTGGAGACCATACCCAAGAGTACATATTCTGTAATTCCATTTGCATAAAGTAGAAAAATAGGCAAAATTAATGCAGGCCATCAGGAGAGTGGGTACTGACTGACAGAGAGCATGGTGGGGGGCTGCTTTTTGGATGCTGGTAATGTTCTGTTTCTTGATCTGTGTGCTAGTTTCACAGATGTGTCTGGTTTGTGAAAATTAATTCAAGTAAAATGAAGTTTACTATAGCATGACAGAATTTACAGGTGTAAAAACTACTCGAATTTTATGTTCAAGAAATTATAAGACAGGTAACAATTTAACTCATATATAGAACACAGGTTGGTCAATTTTTCACTTTCTACTGATGTACAGCAGAAGTCAATACTCACAGTAAATTTAGCTCTTTCTTCCATCACTTCATAACCCAGTATAGTAGGTGTAGAAGGTCTATCTTCCAAATATACTGTTTCAGGATTTTGTTCTTCACTTTCTCTTGGTCTAGCAGAATACTCAATGGAAGAATCTGCACCTGTAAACTTAGTCCTAATAAGGGGACTGCTACAGACAGATGAAGTACTATCCATTTGATCGGGTACACTTGTCTGTTTAAAATTACCCATATTTGAGTCCTCTAACTGGCCTTTGGAAGAGTTTGAGCTTGTTGAGGTACTCCCAAAAGAAGAACTTCTTTGGTTTCTGTTGGTTGCAAAACTGGAAGCAGAGTTCCCTATGGGCATAGGAACTGGGACATAAGGAGTTGCCATCTTCTTTTGGCCTTTGCAAAAAACCTGCACAATGCTGAGACCAAACACTTAGAGAACAACTAATATGAAATCCATTATTTTCTTCTTAGGAATTCACTATCTAAAAACGAGAAGAACATATTGAAAGGTTAGTCTTTAATTTGGAGTATTATCCAAAAAACCTCAGAATGTTCACATCCATTTCTTTTGATTTTGTGACACTCCATTACTTCATTTGGAATGAAAACACACCTCAAACCTCTTCATTTAATCCCAAGATATCATCTCTAAGGATTCCCATTTGCAAGGTAAAGAGAGCAGAATTACTCCACACTCTTTTTCTTGACCTTCATATTACATGTCATCCTTTTTAATCTTCACTTTCTTTCCTTGTGATAGATTTCTGTAATGTTCATTTTAATCTGATATCATCTATACATTAGAGTTGGGAACAGGAAGAGTGGTAAAGACTTTCTGAAGCTTTATTGTCTACTTAGGGTCCTGACAGCTCCACATATAGTACAAGGAGGGAAGGAGGGGAGAAAAGAAAGGGAGAATTATTCACATTTCCTTTTAATTAGTGAAACTCTAAAGAATTACCCAGAGTAGTAACAGTGAACCACAAGCTTAGATGCTACAAGGTAAATATCAATTGTTCTTAAGTTTATTAAACCCAGGATCAAATGTATTTGAAAAAAAGTGGTCAAATTAATCAAGTAAGACCCAAACTTACATCCAACAAGATGAAATGATTGAAAGTTAAAATGTTCTTCAGTTTCCAGATCATCAGTAATGCTACTATGCCAGAAACTGAGGGAACTTAACAAATCCTTATAACTCATACCCAGTAATCCCTGTTGTCAAAAGGACCGGTGTATCTTGTCTCAGAATCTCATAGTTAATACAATGAAGAAAAGGTTTACCACTAAGTTGTTAAATAATAAACTAAGAAATTGTAATAACTACAGAGCTGTGAAATGGCACATAACAAGGGGGGCCTGCCTATCTTAACTATATCTAGGCAACTCTGCTGGTGAGAAAGGTAGGAACAGAGCCGCCCGGACTTGGAAAGATGCTGAAGTAAGATTTTTTAATCCAGCACGTGGCTCTGGGCAACCTTCCTCATCATCAAAGATTGATGAACTGCTTGAACTGCTGATTCACTGCTCCTCGGTTCTGCTTGATGGCCTCCCCCCAAAAGAAGTAAATAAAAGTCTGAAATCTTATCCTTTTCAAGGCCTGTGGGATAGCCCTGCCCTTGCCACCCAACTACCTGAGGCCCCAGGGCTGGGGAGAGAGGACGCATATCAATACAATCACTGACGTGCAAAGCAGTGAGCGCTACCCAAACTTTTAAGAAAATGTATTGGGATCATTAATAGCGTCTTCACTTTTGCCTTAGCATGGAGATGCTCCAAGGACTAACATCTTCGTCCTACACTGGAAAAGCTCGGTCAGGTGAGGTGGCCCGAGCCTGAGCAACGCGGTAGGAGAGAGAAGAGGGTGGCGAGAGAAAAGTGGAGAAACCCAGGCGCAGCTCGACCCTAGGAGCGCCTGGTCGGTGTCAGAGCAGTCCACGGGTCTTCGGCTCAGTGGACGGGGAGACCCACTGCTCCCGGGGCTCCCAGGAGCCCCAAGACGGAGCCACCTCCGCCGCCCGGTGCGAGGCCAGCGCCTCCCACACGCTCGGCGGAGTCTGCGGTGGCCTGAGGATGGCCCGGAGGCTCCCGTGGGGCCCCTCCACCCTCCGGTGGAGTCTGCCCGCAGCCCGCCAGCCACGGGGGCGCAGGTGTCACTCGCATGAGCGCCCAGAACAGCGCCCGCTGCCTTGTCCCTACCTCAGCCCACTCCGCGATTCCGTTTGAGCGCACTTCCCTGTGACGGTTAAATCCGACCCTCCTTAACTGCAGCTTTTCGTCTCCACCCACAGGACCAAAAAGTCTCACGTGACTTTCCGCCCTTAAAGCAGCGGCTCCCAGCCTCAGCCGGGCTCTACCCTGGCCGTCCGGCCCCGGATCCTAGCGAGACGGAGGGTGGGGCCAAGCCCGGCCGCCTCTCCCGGAAGTGACGTCAGGCAAGGGCGATTTTTTTTTTTTTTTTTTTTTCCTCTCCCCTCAATAACCCCCCAACCCCGGAGGCGCGGACTGGAGTTGTCCCGACAGGGCTCTTTGGCAGCCGGGTTGGGCCTTGTTTTGTGGTGAGAATTCTACCTTCTCTGCCCTAGCTTTATTTTTATAAGCTAACTGAGAAATGGAGGTTAAAACTCCCAGTTTGTCGCACAGGTGATCAGAAGATTACAGTTCCTAGGAAGAACTACAGCCAGCACGCGTCCAGGCTCTGCTTTGCATCATGGGACTTGTAGTCATCACTAGCTTGGGCTGGTTCTATTAGATTATAGATTGTTTTCTAGAATTAGCGCTTTAAGGGATGACAATAGATTCTAAGATTGGGAAGACAGAACACTGCACTTAAGCTTATTCGCCCTATCATTGGCAGATAATTGAAACTGCTGAGTGGTATTGTTTGTTTTTTTTACAGCCCAGGGAGCAGTTTTATCTCAAATGATACAATATTAGGCTTGTTAGACTTGCACATCTGAAGACCTGTAAAGTTACCGGGAAAGCTGTTTTTTGATAGTCAAATACCAAAATTTAGACAGTTTACAGGGTTGTTTATCATTAGAATTGTGCATTTTGATTTAAAGATCATCCCATGATTTCTAAGGCTTTGGAACATTCCCAAGATTGGGAAAAATTGATAGTTGTAATTTCAAAATGAGCATAGGAAGATAATCTGGTTTGTGGCATAATAATGGTTTTGGTTGATGATATTGCCCTTCTTGTGTGAGTGAGACATAAAAAGAGAATTTTGTGGAAACAGTGGACTAAAACATGAGGTAGTTTTCAGTTCAGAGTTGGCAAGCTTGGTCTTGAAGTGGCAAGGATATAGAGAGAAAAGAAAGAAAAAAATGAGCCTTGGAGTATTTCCTTCACTTGTGGACAGGGCTTCAGGTGGTAGCAAAAGATAGTTATAATGAGGAAAACATGATAGTCCAATATCAAGGAAGCCAAGGCAAATTAAACTTTCAAGAGACAGAAGTGTACAAATACCACAGTTAGGAGGAGGAAGGATCTAGAAAAGTTGAAATTGTCCAAGAAGAACTTCCTTCACAAATTATTGAAAGGAGCATACAGGATATAGATATTCTATATATTCTTTATCTTGCAGACTACTTGGTATAGATAAATGTCTAGATTTTACTTACAGAAAATGAACTGAACATCTTTTTTTTAAAAAATAAAAGAGTTTTTAAAGTTGAGGTATAATTTACATATTACATTACATTAGCTTTAAGTGTGAAACATAATTATTTGACATTTGTATATATTGAGAAAATGCTCACCACGGTAAATCTAGTTATAAATGCTCACACGATAAATCTGTCACCATACATAGTTCCAGAAGTTTTTTCATGTGATGAGGACTGTAAGATTTACTTTCTTAGCAATTTTCAGGTATTCAATCAATACAGTAGTATTAACTGTAGTTGCCATGCTATACATTATATCCTCATAATTTACATATTTTATAACTAGAAGTTTGTACCTTTTGACCCCTTTATTCATTTTGCTCACCTCCACTTCTGGCAACCACCAATCTGTTCTCTGTATCAATGAGCTTGTTTTGTTTTTGTTTTTTTAAATTCCATATATAAGTGAAATCATATGATATTTGTCTTTCTGTGACTTATTTCACTTAGCGTAATGCCTTCTAGGTCCATCCATGTTTTCACAAGTGACAAGATTTCATTCTTTTTTATGGCTGTGTAGTATTCTGGTGTGTGTGTGTGTGTGTGTGTGTGTGTATGTATATATAAACATCTTCTTTATCCATTCATCTATTGATAGACATTTAGGTTGTTTCCAAATCTTGGCTATGGTAAATAATGGTGCAGTGAACATGGGAGTACATTTATCTTTTTGAATTAGTGTTTTTGTTTTCTTTGGATAAATACCCAGAGGTGGAATTTTTGGGTTATATGGTAATTCTATTTTTAATTTTTCTAGGAACCTCCGTACTGTTTTCCACAGTGGCTGCACCGATTTACATTCCCACCAACAGTGCATGAAAGTTTGCTTTTCTCCACATCCTCACCAACACTTGTTATTTCTTATCTTTTTTTTTAAAATGATGAATGAGTTAGTTTAATTTAATTTATTTTTTTTAAGTAATCTCTATACCCAGTGTGTGGCTCGAACTCACAACCGCAAGATCAAGAGTTGCATGCTGTATTGACTGAGCCAGCCAGGCGTCCCTATTTCTTGTCTTTTTGATAATAGCCATTCTGACAAGTGTGAGGTGGGTGATATCTCATTGTGGGTTTTTTAAAATTTTTTAGAAAAATTTTAAGTTTTTATTTAAATTCCAGTTAGTTAACATGTAGTGTAATATTAGTTTCAGTTATACAATACAGTGATTCAACACTTCCATGTAACACCTAGTGCTCACAAGTGTACTCCTTAATCCGCATTACTATTTAACCCATCTCCCCAACCCCCTGCACTCATTGTGGTTCCCCCAACCCCCTGCACGCATTGTGGTTTTGATTTGCATTTCTCTGAGGATTAGTGACAGTTGAATATTTTTGCATATGCCTATTGGCCATCCATATATCTTCTTTGAAAAAATATCTATTTAGATCCTCTGCCCGATTTTTAATTGGATTTTTTGTTGTTGTTATTGAATTGTATGAATTCTTTATATATTTTGGATATTAACCCCTTACCAGGTCCCACATGATTTACAAATATTTTCTCCCATTCAGGAGGTTGCCTTTCATTTTATTGATAATTTCCTTTGCTCTTTAGAAGGTTTTTCATTTGATATAGTCCCACTTGCTTATTCTTGCTTTTGTTGCCTTTGCTTTTGAGGCTGGATTAAAAAAAAACGATTGCCAAGACCCAGGTCAGGGGGGTTACCACCTTTGTTTTCTTTGAGGAGTTTTATGGTTTCAGGTTTTACATTCAAGTCTCTAATCCATTTTGTGTTAATTTTTGTGTATGATGTAAAGATAGTAGTCTAGTTTTATTCTTGTACATGTGGCTGTCCAGTTTTTCCAACACCATTTATTGAAGAGACTATCTTTTCCCCATCTTATATTCTTGGTTTCTTTGTTATAAATTAATTGACTGTGTATTTATGGGTTTATTTTTGGGCTCCTGAACAACTTTAATAATCAAGAAAGAATGACCTGTGGTTGTCAGAGTGAAAGTTACATTTTGACAGAGCATATGTAATGGCTAGTCTCTATGGAATATTTTAGTTAATTTTGGATGACTCTATATAGTGTACACAATCAAATGGCATTGTGTACATTTTAATTTGTAGAGTAACAGTAGACCATTTTTATGTCCTTTATTTTAATTTTATGTAAAATATATACATTTAGCAGGATATTTTGAGCCATCTCTAGGAACAGTTTTATACAATGATATATAGATACCGGTAATGGTGGGGGGAAGGGTTTTGGGAGAGAGGGAAGAATGGTAAAACAAAAAACAAAAAAACAAAACAAAAAAATTAGAAAAAAAGTATGTGCAACATACTTAGGCAGACATCTCTTGAGGTGGCTTCCTAGAGTCCCACATTTGCCCCTGCCCTGGAACTGGTCTGTCTTCTATAAGGCTGGGCCCCTGGTGGCCATGTTTGTAATGCGTTAGTCTTAAAACAAATGTTTTTTGTCATAGTTAATTGTACCTGAGGAGGATATTTGACCTAAATTGTGTCCAAAGGATGCTCTCTCCTAGGAATTAAAAGGGGTGGGAGAAAGATACAGACTGGCAGTCACAGGAGGTAAAGGCAGATAAAATTTTGTGATAAGAAGGTCAATAAAGTCCCACTGCTGAGGTCACTGGAGTTGATCTGGTCCTTCCCCATTCTTGACTTTTACCTGGAGTTATGAGATACCCTAGTATACTTTCAGTAGATTTGCTTTTTGCTTAAACCTAGCCATAGTTTGTTCTTTTTTTTTTTTTTTTTAAAGATTTTTTATTTATTTATTTGACAGAGAGAGAGATAGCGAGAGCAGGAACACAAGCAGGGGGAGTGGGAGAGGGAGAAGCAGGCTCCCCGCAGAGCAGGGAGCCCGATGTGGGACTCGATCCCAGGACCCTGGGATCATGACCTGAGCCGAAGGCAGATGCTTAACGACTGAGCCACCCAGGCGCCCCAGAGTTTGTTCTTCTTATAACCAAAAGTGCAACTACTACAGCAGGTTGGAAGGAGGCAAACTGAGTATCAATTTTAAAAGCAGATAAAATGTAAACATTCCTTCTCAGTGACTTATAATAACTAAAATAATATAAAAAGCAACTCCTTTTCAGTTATTGTTTTGTTATACTCTCATGGCTTCCCTAAATCGTGTATGTTGTTTTCCACAGGTGGTGTTTCTGTGATTTCATGTTCAGGATCTGTAATCTACCTGCCTTCTCTTTTTCTCACTGCCATGAAATTGTAAGGGTCCAGAGAAAGAACCACAAGTGACCTATTCTTAAAGTAACAGGTGGTGACCAAAGCAGTGACAGGGGAACACTGACAGCCAACTTTATTGCAATTAACCTGTGACCTTTGCAGTTTCCTAAATCCATGGTAGGAATAATATGGCATTTGTAATGGTATAGAGAAGACACTGTTCGGTACTCCTACCATTGATTCGTGACTTCCACCCATCAAACTACATAAGGAAAATTTTGAAAGCATATGTGGAAATTATACTGGAAATACAAAAAAGAGATCAAATTCTTTCACAAAATCACATTACAATTTTAGAACTGAAAGAGATCAAAAAGACCATGGAGATAAGCCTCTATTTTAGAGCTAAGACTGCTGAGGAAAACAGAGGCTCAAAGATCTGCC